AGCACAAGTTTAACTCAAAAACATAACCAAATCATAAGCTAGAAGGGTACAAAATGATATACAATTATGAACCGATCAGATCCAAGCATAATATTTTGGCGTTGAGCCTCCTGACGGACCATAAAAAAGATATTTTCGATACTTGGAACTTTAGCACTCCATAGAATATCATTGCGTACCTTGTCATAAGTATCGTCAAGGCCAGCCAAAAAATCATACACACAATCTGCCATAACAGCAACCTGAAAAGTCTTCATATCATCAGCACACTTCATTTGAAAAGGGCATCTCTTGTCCAATTCAAGCCAGATTGCCTTAAGTTTGGTGAAATAGGTAGAGACATGACGACCTTCTTGCTTGAGACGAGTAGCCTATCACCGCAGTTCATAAAGCTGGGATATGTTAGAGCCATCATAAAACATCTTATTAACAGAATCCCAAATTTCCTTAGTAATAGGTAGAGTATGAAACATATTTAACAAACTGGGTTCCATAATTTGCAGCATCCAACTTTTCACAGTAGCATTAACAATTTTCCACTTCCCAAATTGTGGGTCTTGGGAATCAGGGGCATCAGTGTCGCAAGTCAGGTAATCCAATTTGCCTGTAGTAGCATGAAGTTCGATCATCAAAGCCCATATCTCATACTTGGATCCATTCAATTTGAATCCCATGGGTAGATTGGTGGATGATTCAGTACGAATCGTCACAATAGGGATAGAAGAAGAGATTTTAGTGACATTCGACATGGTGATAGATGGCGGCGGCAGTAGAAGATTAGGTGGCAACAATGACAGTAAGAGATATGAGACGGCGCAAGCTTGGGTGTATAGGCGGCACGGGTTTAGGTGTATAGGCTAGGTGTAGCAGAAATATGTATTTTTTAGGATTAGGATTTTGATGTTGTAGAGACAGATCGGAACCCTCTCTAATACTAACTCAAAAGTAATTAATTAGGGTTTAAAATGATATGTTTATTATTCTCTCAATGAGGGATATATATACTATATACATAGTGGGTACAAATAGGAAATATATGCAAAATCTCTTAATTATACTCAAATTAGATAATTACAATAAAATACAAATTCTATTCCTAATAGGAACGTTGACTTTGACTCACACCAACAATTTATTCCCTAGGATTGCCTTCTTTGTCCCAGAGGATTTGTAGCCAATATGGCCTCGATGGTAGCTTTGGGAAATGTTGGCTCTCTCTTGGCTGCTGGAAAAACACCTTAATTAATGAAAAAATTGCCATTTTTTCTGATGTACTGAACCATGCGTCAAAAATTGATGGTATTCATCTTGCTGAATGACAAAAATTTGTAAAGATATTCATCTATAGACATTGCGACATGACTCACCTTAATGCATTGTTGTAGGTCTTAAACTTTTGTTTTAAATTTGTGTGCCTCTTCTTATTGGATAAGTACTTCATTGTGGCCGTAGCTTAGAAATGGGTTTTGTGTGAGAGATCAAGTTGCACAATGAGGAAGAAAGTCGTTGTGACTGATAGGCAATTGTAGCTGTTTTTAAATGCTACTTTATGTACCATCATTTCTGTTGGAATCAAATTTACATTCATATAAAGTATTCCTATTTGATTTTATTTCTTATATTTCTTATGGCTTGTATGTGTCTTCACTACAGCTTGTTTGGTATGGACGGAGACTTTGCAGCAATGGTTAGCTTTTACGCAAGGAGCATGGCTTTCTGTTAGTCATTGATGATGTAGGTCCTCTTGAGTTATTCCGCAGTAAAAACTTGTGAAACCTTTTTAAGGCCTATCTTGTAGACACATCAATGACTGTCATAATTATATTACGAATGAATTCTCCAGTTATACTGAAAAATCAACTTGTCGTCGTTGATTTTATTTGTCTATCGTAAAGGAAAAACGTTGGTCTATTTCTTCGTTTTCTTTTGATGTAAAGAAGATATTATCTTTGACTCAGGCTCATGGAACATTTGTTTGTGGCAAAAATGGTGGCGGAGTGGCTGAGCAGTACAATTGCGGAAGAGATGTTGACATTTGTGTTGGGACTTTGAGTAAGGCTGCAGGTTGCCATGGTGGATTCATAGCATGCAGGCAAGTACGAACTTAGAAAGGAAACATGGTGTAGAAGGGAAATTTGGAATCGGGTCTCATTGGAATCCTCATAAACAGTCCATAATATCTCTATTGTAGGGAGCGAAGAAGAGAAGGCTCTGCAATCCAGCCAGTTTTGGTTCCATCTCTATCTGTTTGTGAGTGATTTGGAGATCACTCTACAACTGCATCAAACTTTGTTTATTATCAATGAACTTGAGTTCGTTGAAATCCGGTTTCCATGTGACTGCACTTGACAAGTCTTCGTTTTAATTTTCCTTTGTGCTAAAGTATATTTACAAGTTTGGGTTGTATTCATCTTGTTCATTTTGTGTTATGATGCTTTGCTGTATGACTTCAATACCCATCATCTTTTAGAGGAATGGTATTTGATGCTTCGCTCCTGTTGTGTAACTTTTTAGGTGAGACCCAAAGGTATCCACCGCCGACAGCAGTGACTAATCCCTTTCGCCGCGGGAGCTCTCCCAATGGAGGTAAACGGCTGGCTACCACCACACCACATCTCATGGTTTCTCCTGTCAAAGTTATTACTTATACCCCTTGACTAAATTGGCAATAGGTTGAGTTAAAATCATGCAGGGTCTTAAAGATTAATTACCATAACAAATTATGTAGAAAATTATTGGTCATACATGAAAATAAAGCCAAAATGCATGTACAAAGTTTGGAAATTGAAATCTAACTCATTACAATCATGAAAAATTTGGGACTATACTTTAGTTCCCCCTCCACAATGGATGAGTTGAAATTATATTGTTTCTTTGTGGACTTTAAATTATTTTATTTTATTTTTCACTAAGCTAAGAGTGACATTAAGCGCAACACACACAAGAGCTGCACTCTCCCTTCGTGTCAATTTCCAAGAAATTGGAATCCATGGCTCAAATGGATATGCAAGGCTTTAGGATTTGATTTTTTTAGATTCCAATAGTTCATAACTGTACAGAGAATGAGAGTACCAAAACATATTTACTGTAAAGAAGTGAACATCACTTCATTTAGGATGTATGTGGGCCTTCATAAAGCTCCTTTACACCTTTTTATTTTATTTTATTTTTAAATTCCTTTTCTTTTATAAATTAACAAGGGCTGAACGAGACATCTTAGTACTCACATGTGGCAGGTCGTCAGCCTTAAGTTAGCATTGGTGATATTTTGATGACAATGCAGTTCCAGTTTCAAAGCTGTAATTTGGGGTTTAGGGGTTTTAGGGTTGGGGAGCTCATTAAGTTGATGGGGAGAGTGTTGGTCTTGGACTTGGAAGGAGACTTGGGTGGAAGAAAAATAGGAGAGGCAGAGGGTTTAGAGCTCACAATATCGCATATAGTGGCAGTCTTGACTGGGCACCTCTCAGTTATGAGAAAAACTTAGTTATCACGCATGTTATAGCATTATTGGCTGGGGGTAGCAAAATAGTGCTATCACTATTTTATGGAAGTCTATGGCCTTAGTTACAGGCTACATCAAGTATGCGTTTCTTTTTCATCTTTTTTTTTTGTTGGTGATAAAATGATGAAACCACCAAACTTCTATTGCCCTCGTTCATAATTTTGCTATTTCAGGCCCTAAATGAATTTTTCAGACTCACCAAAAAGAAACAAAAAAATTTTGTAATTTTATTATCAAATCTAATTTTCTTCATTCTAATCTTTGATCATTACTTCTTAATAACCTGAAAATCTGAATGTATTTTTTTGATACTGATACCGGCCAGAACTAGAATGCCATTTTTTTGATTTGTATAGGCTGGTGAAATAATTTGAGGCCAGCTGCTCAAGGCATAGTCTGTTCTCTGAAACCATCATATGCAACCCTGTATTGCACTTGTGCATGAAAGCTCCAAGGCATGCATACGGATCACTGAAAATAAAAACTTAATTAATTAATAAGAAAATAACATTAATTAGAAGAAGAAAACAATACAATTTTTTCTCTAAATAACACTATTCTTCTTAAGATACATATATGTAACAGAAGTGAGTCCCAGTTAATGGGGGTCTCATCCAAACAAATGTGTTCCTTCCTATACTCTCCTACCATCCTTCTCCTGTTTTCTCTATTAGTGAGGATGCATAAATACTTAAAAGTAACTCAGCAATGTGGCAGCCATACAATGCTGTCTAGCTAACTTTCTGCTTGCTTCACAACAAACTTGTACAGAAATCAAGTCATAATTGTACACGTCTACACGAGCCCCAGTTAGATTGCAGTAACTGAAATTTTCATCCCACTGCAGTAACCAGCATTCCAAGAAGAACCGAAATTTCCGCTACAGCATTCCAGTTCTGACAGAATAAGAACTACTTTGTTGTCCTCAATCTTCATATTTTGGAAGCCTTGAAATGCATGAATAAGATAAGAAGGATTTCAGGTAAGGGGCAAACAGTCTAATATATAGGTTGTGAAATGTCATAGCTTGAAAGTTCAGTTGTTTAATAAGTTCAGATATTTATAAGATTGAACTTAAGCTATCTATCACTTCCACCATAATCTCATGCACAAATAAATTATCCAATATGAAATAGCCTAAATGCTTAACATATTAAAGTGTCTTCGACTAGTCTTTCTATTATTCAAGCAAAGCATCCAAACAAACACTAACCTTCATGAATTTTGGAACAGCCATTGCAACTAAAGAACTAGCTGCAGTATTCCTCAGAAACGTCTGGATTTCTGCTGTGGAGGGTATCCCATCCCCATCCCAGTATCTTTCCTTCTCAACTGTAAATGAAAAAAGAAACAAAAATAATATCAGCACATATCAAGCGAAAGAAGCAACACTTCTACATTGAAACAATTTAGGACTCATCGCAATATACCTGTTGTTGGTGATGGGCCTGGGATACACCACGCTGCATTGGAATGCCACCAGGATTCATTCCACCACCCATTCCCGCCTGAGATGCAAGGTTAAAAGCAGTCATACCCTGAGGCTGCATTCGTTGCATGTTAAGCATCGGCCTGGGCATGGATCTGTTCATCCCTACATGAGCACCTGACATGCTTCCAGATACTGCATTTCCAGACGATACCTGGTCCAGATAATCAGATGAGCATGCACACATCCCCTAGAGTATAAAGCTTGAAATGCGAGACTTCCTATGTTCTCTATATTAAAACATGTTATTTTTCATGGAGTACACTCATAATATGTAGTAAATGACTCAAAAGCATGAATTTGTTCAATGCAAGGATGTAATTTATAGCAGATCAATAGTTGAATAAAATTCTATTGTGAATCTCTTTCTCAATAACAATTAAATCAAAGGAAAGGGAGGAAAGAAAATGGGGTACAATTAATTGTAATGTAGATATCAAGATGGCAACAATATGCGTGTTAAAATTTAATATCGATACATGTCCCACCAAATTCAATAAAATAATGACAAGTTGGCAGCCGACCAGCAACTGAAAGAGAATATGAATATACAAAAAAGGCTGGAAGGAGGTTCCAAGTTCTGGCATACAGACATTGAACTAAACTAAAAGCATCTCCCTTCAACAAGCACATCAACTTAAGCAACACTCATTTATGTAAAGAAACATAATTATGTCCATTTGTTAATGAAGCATAAGGTAAGAAACATCAGAATATTACATAAAAATATTATATATAAAAAATATTCATAGACAATCACTTAACCAATTAGACCTTGAAAAACCAATGAAACTGGTTTCCATGCATCTGTTTTTATAAAATATATCTAAACCCATCAATTTAATTTTCTAATCCATATCATCTTAACAGAAGATTTGTATGTCACAAGTCACAAGAGGAAAAGGTGACCACTTTAAGTTTATGCATCTTACAAAAATAAATGTGCTGATTTGGCATTCTAAACAATATATTATCCGCTGTAATTTACAGAATAGCAACACTATCATACTTTCTTGTTCTACATCCAACACATATTGAAATTAATATCCATGATTAAAATTCTTTCAAGAGGAAATCATTTTAAAATATATATGACACTCCTGAATCAGTAGACTACACAATTAAGTAGCCCTCCATTACATTTCTTTATTCTACCTTTCACTCCCATTTTGTCTCAAATTCCAACTAAATTTTGGCAAAAAGCATTGTTTATTACTAGGCCTTCTCTTAAAGAACTGCAGCTTTAGAACAGAAGACTACCCATTTAGTTGTAAAACCATGTAAGCATACCGGTTGTGAAGGTTGAATGCTAGTTGTCCCTTCAAAATCTGTGCTTGTGTCTACTGGACGAATAGGATAATTTACTACTTTCTCTCCTTGGGTGGGTACCAATGCACTGATCATTGATATCACAAATACCTGGTCAAAATAGGGAACATGGGCGGAATATACAATAGCATCTAATACAAGTTCTCCTTTTCAATCTTTTTTCTTTATTCTCAAACTTCTTTGGTATTCATGAACATGTTGTCAAAGAATTGTAAAATAAAGACTCAAAATGGTGAGCGTATCACAAGGGACAAGTTCCAAGGTACAAAAAAAACAAAAAAACAAAAAAACAAAAAAGAGGGGCAGGGGGAGGAAAAGTTAAAGAAGAAGAAAACCTTACTTGCGCCCTGGTAGAGGTTCAATACGAAAATACCTGAAACAAAATATATGAAGGTTTTTAGAAAGCAGTACTCCGTTGCTCATGACAACTCATGCATGAGATTCAAAATTCTTAGCACAATATTAACTGTAAGTTTCTTCAAATAATTTGTTTACAGCAGGTACCCCAGACTATCATTTGTCTACGAAAATAATTCACGTTTTTATAAAACTTATTAAGTGGCCCATTGCTAAGCTTGGGGAATGAACTAAATATTAGAATCCCCAAAACACCACTTGCTATTAGAAGCCCAACCAATACTACTCGTTTTACATGTTCTTTTTATGACTCCGCAATTGAAAGTAAAATAAGCTTAATTAAGTCTACGTTTCTTATTCGACCATTATGACAATTTGTAAGCAAAAATCTAGGGAGAATAACCATGAAAACATTAGTATATATATCAGCTTATATACAAAATATGAAAGCTCAGACAGTATGCCATCGAAAGGGGTAGAAAGGAAAGGAAAGGAGAGAGAGAATAACAAGCATAATACAAAAGATATCAGAGACAAGAAGCTGTACTCATGCTCTAAAGCTTGTGCAGCTGTTATACGCTTTCGAGGATCATATCTGCATACACAGTTTGGGGAAAAAACAGATGATTAATATATTTTTCTAATGACAAAAGTAAGGCATTATCACATCTGAAAACTTAATTGCATGAAATAGAACTAAATATACAACCTGAAAACCTTACAGGTACAGGCTAATGTAACTAAGTACAACTTGAGCATACTTTAAAGCTATAATTTTAACACTTTTTAGATCGGACAACTGTAAATCTCAGAATTTAGAAAAATATGAGCAATGTATGATAGACAATGAGAAGAATGTTTGATCCAAGTTCCAACGGTCAGTTTGGACTGAAACCAATAAGATGCAATTTATCGGTGTCAGAAGCTCCAACTCTCTAAAGCATTCACTCTAACCCTACTCCTGACCGAAAAAATCAGTGCAAGAAAAAGGCAACCAATAGTAAAGATTCCACTTAAATTCTTTGATCTCAATTAATGCCCCTTAACTGCTTTTCATAATTCATATCCAAATTAGCTTGTAAATAACTGAATTTACTTCTACTTTCCTTTACAACTTGTGAACAGAAAAGCATGTCCAACAACATGTTCCAATCTGGGAAGACATCACTGACTGACCTATGTATCACACCGAATGACAGTAGACTTGGTATCCTCATTTTATAGCCATCGAATTCATTTTAAATAACTACTAGCTAACATTTCTTCAAAGACTTCATGCAGTAAAAACTAGTCATCTCCCCAAAACTTCCTACCCTATGCACCTCTCTGTTTATGGACCACCCTGTCACATTGAAAATATAGGAATTAAAATTCTCAACCACCCTCAAATTTTTGTATGGTTGGTCAGTTTAATCCCAAGGAAAAGATGTTCCTTTAGTACCCTTCCAAATCCCGTGGTATTTACATGATTGTAAGAGATTGTCCCATTAACGTCTCCAGCTAAATACTTGTTATGATTTGATAGTGTTGTCTGCAGCCTTACTTTGTAAGTTAACGTGGAGCAGTTACTTTCTCCATTGCCCTGGTAGGAAGTGAAGAAATGGACTTGACTACTTTCTGGAGAGAAATAAGTTAACGTTTCCCTTAACTCTTCTCTCCTTATACTGAAATCTATTCATGGATCTCTATCTCAAGGCAAACAACCCTTTTCTACACATATAATGGGATGAATTTGAAGATGATTTTCTGAGGAAAATTTTGGGCTTCAATAGTCATTCAAAAGTTATCCCCTTTGTTTAATAAGAACTATGAAATCTGAAAGTAAATATCCTAATTAGTAGAAATCAGACTATGCATATAACATACACATTTACATATTACTTGCATCCCTTTCCAAATGCATCACATCCAGCTTTCGCATCTCAAGATATCCCTAATTCTTCCCTATTCTAAAACAGAAGTTCTTGTCCTAACATCCGATGCTCAATTAAAGCATGGAGAAAATTACAATGCAAGCATCAAGTAAGTCATCAACTTTGAACTCAATAGAGTACACAGGTAGTTGTTCTGAACCTTGGGGGAAAGTATAGGCATTATTACTTACAAACCTTAATACAGTCCGCACACATTATTCAATTTTAAATCCTGACTATTTTGTGCTCGTTATAATTATAATCCTTGAAACTTGTATTATCAACATATATGTGGAACCAAGAAACCATGTCTGTCTAAATATTCCACATGACTTCACTGTATTACAACACTATTCAGGTTGTATTAGAGAGCATCTACAATCCTGCTCCCTATTTTTTAGTTAAAATTTAGCTAAAAACACTTGAAAGCTATTTTAGGAGCTCTGTATCAAATTTCAACTCCAACCATACTCCATAGTTTAGGGAGTCATAAATGTTTTAATTTTTGTAATTGACCCTCTCTCTCAACATTAAATAAAAGTTTAAAAAGTATTAAAGCAGTATTTAACTATAGGGAGCCACTATGAGTTTTTTCTCTCCTCAGATTTAGGAGCTCCTAGAGGTCTCCCCTATCTTAGAAGGTGGATAGAGAGCATGGTTGGAGTTGTGTTTTTTCAATTCCTCCCTAAATTTTGTCTAAGGAGGTGGTTTGCCCACGGTAGACGCTCTTTATCATCCCAATTTTTTTAACCATAACTGTTGGTATGCTATAATTCGGATGCTACCAAATTTAGTTTCTTAGTTTGTTTAGGGATATGATCTTAGTATCCTAAATTAAGGGATTGTGATTGTGGTTGCATCCTCTATACACATTTTTCATGGTTATGACTAGGGTGATTTAACTAAGCGCAATTTTATGCTTATCACACACCTACAACACTATTAAAATAAATTCCAAACCATTCCCATTTTACCCTCGTTAGTTTTCTTTTTACATATTTTTCAAATTTAACAGAGATAAAATATAAATATCCATGGTTAGAGACCATCAAAGTAGCCACGACATAGCTAATGGTCATAGATTGGTATGATGGTAAGAGATGTACAGGAAAGAAAGGGAATGATGGCAAGAGAGAGAGAGAGAGAGAGAGAGAGAGTTTAATTTTTCTGTTTCAAATTGGAAAAATAAGGGCACAATGGGAATTATAAGTTTTGGTTTATGGATATAATTAGCCTTGTAATTAACATATCTCATTCTCTCCCAATTTGCTCAACAATAACAAAATGAAATTTATGTAAATTCAAAGGGCACCACTTACTCAAGCATCTTAGATAGGAGGTCATATGCAGGACTTTTTGGAGAGAGGTGAACTACACTATACAGTGCAGTATTATCACTGTCAAGAGCATAGACCGGGAAAAAGAACTGGTTAGTTTGATCAAGGGGAAAAAAACCAAAAAATGAAAAACGAAAATGAAACCGCACATAGGAGAAATTAGACAAAAGTAATTCCTTTAGATGAGAAAACTTACTACTTATGCCCTTGAATATGTTGAAGGTCTTGTTGCCAGTGTGGAAGGTTTGCAAGTGTTGGCCACTTTTCTAGTGTAGGATGGCCTGATGTGATAACCATGGAATGTAAGCTAGCTCCATGGAGTACATAAAAGAAGACAAATGGCCTCAAAAAGTAAAACAAAACAAAGTACCTAGGACCTTGAATATCTTGTCAAGTTGATCAAGCTGCAGAATTGACATTATTTGTTTTAAGACATAATAGGATCAGAAAAATATACGAAAACTGCTGGTAATAAAAGCGTAAGAAAATGTAAAGACAGTTGAGGAAAATAGTTGTGAAAGAACATATTATACACAACGTTCCACAACCTGGAAAGGATTTGGTATAGCTTTGACTTCTGCCCCTTGAAATAGTGGCTTCAAAGTCAAAAGCTCGGCAAAGATGCATCCAACGGCCCACATATCTAAATTACATTTTAAGGAAACATTGGTTTCTAAATCAAATACAAAGCTTATTAGTTTTCTCAAAGGATTTGCAACAAATAGAATGAAAAATTTGGTGTCAAAGGATACCAACAGCACTTGTGTAGTGCTTAGCCCCAAGGAGCAATTCTGGTGCACGGTACCATATGGTTACCACAACCTGCAAGTAATATAGTTAACACAGTACACACTTAGTATTATTGTTTCAATGGAAGTGGATAATAGTGTTCAAGTAGGGGTCGGGGGCAATGTTCGTTACTCAAAAACATAACAAAAGGCATTGGCCAAGTACACAAAATTTAACAAGAAAAAGCAGAAAATTTAAGAGATCTAACAATTCAATAATGGAAGAAAATGAGAAACAATTCACATAAAAATATACGAATGACAGAGATCTAACAACAAAGCAGCTTAAGCACTGAATACTCAATATCTTTGAAAAATTCTTGCATTTTACTTGCTCTCAGATGCATCACTCACAAAAACAATCACATTTGATATCACCCAATTATTGTCTCAACCAAAGCGGCCCTTCAAGCAAGCAAAAGGATCAACAAGAGACGTTTTGTAGCTTATCCCATATAAAGAATACACAGGATTATAATTCCATGGAAAAATAAAATGCCAATCTTTAGGGATTTTCAATTTGCATAGAAATTGTTTTCCTCTTGGAAGTTATGGTTGTCGTGGAGATACAAATGCATTAGTTCCCAAAGGCATATAATTCAAGTAGGAGAATCAAAAAGGAGTGGAGAGAATCCAAGATTGGTATGATAAAAGTAACTAAGAAGATTAAAGCTCTAGATAGGATTTAATTCTAAATGGTACTCACTTCACGCCACAGACACAAGCAGGAAATCCAAACAACTTTCATTTCTATCACTGTTCACTTACTTTCCAAAGCTTATAAAGTAGCTTTTTTATAAGGATTACTGACACATGAATCATTGAAGACCCAAAATGAATATACTTAGGGAATCTAGAAGACATAATTCATGACAATTTAGACTTTGATAATGTATTTGAAGAGAGTAAGGATACAACTATAAAATGCAGACTTAAAATGCATGTACAAATTGCATTATCAAAATGAAAATTACAAAGAATCTCAATCAGGTGGTGCTTGTTACGTAAATGGACTAATTTATGAAACTTTGAACTTAGCTCCTGTATCGACTTAGTTATTTAGTATACCTTATGGGTACCGCTATTGAGCCTTTTTATTGTTATAAATTAGAAAATATTTTATATAAATACATGAGAAGTTAGAGAACATCACATACACTCTTTAAAAAAATGATGGCAGCTAAAGAACAAACTAATAAAAACATGCTTCCTTACCCCGTTTTCAGACAGCGACTTAAGGGGAGCCTGATATATTCTTGCAAGTCCAAAATCCGCAATTTTAACAACTCCTTGTTCCTCTGCATCGCCCATAACCTAGCAACAAAAATTTGGGTAACATAGCAGCAACTTTTTGTCGGGAAAGCGAGTTTGTACAATAAAGGGTATTCATCACATGAGATGAGAGAATGAAAATTATACCAAGATATTAGATGGCTTTAGATCGCGATGAATGATCCAATTACTGCAAGGAAGGTTCCACACAAGCATTCCAACAAGTAAGATACAGCAATTGAACTGCACATGAGCAGAACAAAAATAAAAGCCATACATACCTGTGGAGATAATTCAGTCCATTGAGCAGCTGCCAGAGCAATGTCTTAATAGTGTACTGATTGATGGAATGATTAACTTTGTCTCTGTGGTGTCTAATAATTTCCTGTCAATACCATGTAAAGAACCCAGATAATGCTTTGCTCAATCAATCACATTTGGTCTTTCAAAGAAGAAATGGGAAAATACCATATACTCACATAAAGGTCATGTTCGGCGTAATCAAAAGCCAGATAGAGCGACATGTCTGCGTGGTTGATGTGAACATTCACAAGCTTCACCACATTCTCGTGCGATATTTCTCGCAGCAACTGAACCATCCAAAATATCTCATTTTTCTTAATACTTTCGAAATTTTCGTTAATGGGAAAATTCAAAATTAAGAGAATTAAACAAAAATAAAAAAGTGGGTGCTTGGCTTATGGGGAACCAGAACAAAATAGAAACGGAAAGAAACTTTGATGCCCCAAAAAGATTTTTTTTTTTTTTTTCAAATCAAATTTCCCTGCGAAAATTTCGAACATTAACGTCTACAATTCAAAAACAAAACGGAAATTAAGAAGAAGATGACCATGATTTCGCGGATGGCGGTGGGAGAGACGCCATCACCGTCCTTGGATTGCTTGAATTTCTTGATGGCGATGGATTTGCCGCGGTTGTTAGGAGGAGACTTGGTCCTGGCAAGGAAGACGAGGCCGTACGTGCCCTCTCCGATCTTCCCTATCAGATCGTACTGTTGCAGCCACTCGGGCTTATTACTATGACCACTGTGGCTGTTGTGGTTGTTGTTATGGCCTCTGTTGCCGCTTGCGCTGCCATCACCCATGCTCCGTGCTTTCCACTGCCACTCCACCACCAATAACCAGTCACACAGATAGATATCTCTTCTCTCTCGCGCTCTCTCTCTCTCTCTCTCTCTCTCTCTCTCTCTCTCTACCTCCTTCTTCCCCGACTCTCTCTTTCCAAATTTTATTTTTCAATTTTCATCCAATTTTCCTTTCATTATTTTCTTCCCACTGTTTCCGGCGGGACCCAAAGAAATTGGTTTAATTAAACTTTTTTTTTGCGTTACAGTTTTTATGTGAATGATTTCTGTATTAAACAAAGGGAGTGTATTAGGGAAACCCGAGACTCATCTTATACCTCTCAGCGCGCGCGGAGAAAGACATCTTTTTTCTTTACTGTGACGACTTAAAGATTTTTTAATTATGATTGTGTTTATTATAATTATTATGTTTGTCAAATGACTTTTCTATCCCCGCGTAAATATAGTGAAATATGAGGATGAAGTTGCTCTCATGTTGATTAGGGAAATTGGAAATAACGGACAAGTATCTAGCAACATAATTTCACTACTATTTAGATATGGGTCATCATTTGGCCCTCGGCTCGTGGCCGAAGTGGGTAGTCCGAGGTTTAATGGGTTAAAGCCCAACCTAGCCCGATGTTTAGGGTTGTTAGGCTCGTCCTGTTCTAAGTTTGGATAGGGCTTGGGCTTAGGTTTTGAAACCACTAGCTCGAGGCCTGAGTAAACCCGCTCATTGCCTTGTTGTTTTTTGTTTCCCTTATATTGCCTTATTTTCATTCTAAATATTTAAATAAATGTCTTGTCTTTTTGTACCCCATTTGGATTCAATAAAAAAACTAGAAAATCAAATTCCCAACAAATGAAAATATTAAAATCCAATTTTAGTATAAGATACATTTTATACCAATATTGATACCTTAATAAGTCAATGTATTCTTTATACTAAAATCTCATAAAATTGTGTTTGATTATTTAAGATGTATGGATAATAAACCGCCAAAAATATCATTGAATACATTAGTATTCCAAAAGTTCATTTTTCATACTTAGTCAAATTTTGATAGAAAACAGTTTTTCAAGTATGATATGTAGTAATTGTCTGTTATTTACAATTTTCCTTAACAAAATAGTATGAAGTTGCTCTCATGTAAATCACGGAAAAATATCTCATACCATAATTTCACTACTATTCTTTTTTTTTTTTCCTTTTTTTCAATTTCACTACTATTTAGAAGAATAAAATGTTTTATTAAGGCAAAAAGTCACTTTTGGTCCCTGTGGTTTGTTATTTTTACTACTAAGGTCCCTACGGTTTCAATTTGGTCACTTTCGCCTTTGTGGTTTTCAATTCCAAGCAATTTAAAGACAATATCCAATTTCTATCAAAATCCTCTAACATCCGTTATTTATTGAACATGTGCCTGATCGGTTCATAATTGTATATTATTTCTTACCCTTCTAGCTTATGATTTGGTTATGTTTTTGAGTTAAACTTGTGCTTTTAATCCTTTTTGTGTTTTTCTTTCAGTTAATTGAGCTTTAGGTAACAATGATGGCTTTGGAGAACATAATTCATGCAATTCAAGCATGTTAAGGCCTAATTTGGATGAATTGATGAAGAGCTTAAAGACAAATTCATTATGGCTACAGCCCCCTGCCAGTCCAGTTCCGTAGGTCATATTGCAAGCTTTGTTTCAGCAACCTACATAGCTCGGATGAGGCCACATTCTTCATGAAAGTTGCTCCAATTGGTGTGTACTATAACATATCCAAAATTCAGCCCCATTGGATAAATCTGGAGTCCGTTACCTAGCAAACACAGAACCATGCTCAGGATGGATCTTATCAGCGCGGAAAATGAGTTAGCAATTTATTTCGGCCTTAACTTCTTCCTCCGACCTTGGATTGGCCCAAATAACATATGGCTGGAAAGAAAACATTCTGAACTTCAATTTAGAGTGCTTAAAGTCCTAATTTGATTAAGAGAAGCCCAAGTTGTAAGCCCTTAAAGTTGCTGGTCATGCTGACCTCAGCATGTGCTGGTTGGATGCTTGGTCATGGTGAGCTAGGTATGAGCTATCATTTCTGGTTGGAAGCTTGGTCATGGTGACATGAAGATGAGCTAGGGCTGCTGGTGGGATCTATTGGTGAAGGGCATCAACCAATTCAAGATTTTCTAATACAAGTGCAGCACTCATTTCAGATTTTCTAATACAAGTGCATCAACCATTTCAGATTTTATAAAACAAGTGTTGTATGCATTAGCCATATTGAATTCAGATTTTCACTTCCCCTAGGCCTATAAATAGGGAAGTTCTCTAAGCTTGTAATAACACCCCAAGGGGGGGAGCTCTCAAGCACTTCTCTAGAGCTCCCTTCCCTTATCTCCCTCAAATTCTCTTAATTTCCCTTTGTAGTTCTCAATTGTTGTAATAAGATCATTCTACTAAATTTTCTTCTCCAAATCTCTCAAACACTTCTCCCATCTCTAAAGTTCTC